CTGGTGATGTAGTGTGTAACACATCCAGCTGCTAACTGAAAGGTTAGTGGTACAAATCCATCAGCTGCTTTGTGAGAGAAAGATGGGCAGTCTTGAAAACCCAATGGAAGGTCACAATGTGTCAGAATCAGCTTGATGGCACAGGTTGAGTTTTGGTTTGGAGTGCATTGTGAAAAAGAGTCCTGCTGGTGCAGTGTGCAAGCATTTATTGTTAAGTGAAAGGTCAGTGGATTGATCCCCCAGCCCACAGCTCAGTCAGTGTCAGATTACTCAATAAGCATAATCCACGGGAAGCAATTTCACATTTTTCACCACATGAAAGATTCTGCATCAGTCTCTCTCCTAACCCCACAAAAACTGTTACAGAATCAAAGCCTTTCTTCTAATTGATAAATCCCTGACAGGGTCTAAGTGCCCTGAAATTAAGATAAGACAGGCTTACTTGTGCTCATAGTTTGGAACCAGTTCACCCCTGTTCAACTCCTGCTGAGAATTTGCATTACTATTATAGACAGACTGGATCAGAATCTAGATTTTTTTTTTTTAAATAAGACCCCCAGGTGAGTCTTGGTGAAGCCCCAGGTGATGTTGTTAAACAGTAGATTCTGATTTAGTCTATCTGGGATGGAAATGCAAATTCTCAGCAGAGTCAGCCTGATTCATTCAAAGATGTGGTGAAACCCATGTGAAATCATTCATTACAGATTAGTTCATTAAACTCAAACTCGCTTATTGGGTAATCGACTCCCGGCTCTGCAACTTGCCTCTATAAGAGTCCAGGGTTAGAAACCCTATGCGATGTTTCTGCAGCCCTATGGAGACACTATAAATCAGAATTAACTAAAACCCAACAGGTAACGGGCAGAGTGCATTAGGAAGCTGACCTAGCTCCTTCTCCATGCTGAAGGCTTCCATAGGCCTTCTCACATACCATTCCCTTGGCCTCCTTTGCACCTGGCACAAACTACTGCCTAGGAAGCACTTAACTACTTACTGACTCAATGCTGTTATCCAAGGAATAAACACCCTACGTAGTTTACTGACCAAGACTCCAAAATGTTCAGACTGAAAAACATCCTACATGGAGAGTTGCTTAACTTCAGTTAAACTCAATTATTTCTTCATATTAGCTTTTTCCTGTTGTTCCAAGAAGTTCTGCAAACAGTTGTAGAACAGGCTACAGGGGCCAGCTGTACAAAATCTATTCATTCGTAACAATTTATAAGCCTTATGACTTTGAGCTATTTCAAAAAAGCCAATACAAAAAAATATCCTCAAGGCCATTTAAATTTCATATGTAAGCTACCTTAGAATGCATAGAGTGAAAGGAAAAAACCTTGAGAGGCCATCTGTGCCAGAAAGATCACACAGACAGCACTTACTGCTGTATTCAAGTAGATTTCAAAATGTAGTGCTTTTGAAACCTGTTTCACTACAATATCGTTTATGCCAATCTATGTACTATAGTCATAACGAGTTAAGCTGTGGTGGCTTAGTGGTAAGGAATTATGCTGCCAACACAAAGGCATATAGTTCAAATTCATGAGCTGCTCCATGGGAGAAAGATAGGCAATCTTGTGTGATTTACTACCTCTGAAGATCTGTTGGAGTGCCAGCTATTGGTTGGTTCCTGCTCAAAAGTACACAACAACAATCATAAACAGCAAGATGGCAGAAGGCGTTTTTCTATATTGCCTTAATACTCCCCTCCAAAAAAACCCACAAAAAAGGTGTGGGCTTTATTTAATTAGATTAGTATTTTATTCCACATAATATAGACTGCACTGATTCACCTTAACCCTCAAACACACACACACACACACACACACACACACACACACGCACCCACACACACACTCAGAGTACAATAACAGATATATAGCCTCAAGGCAGGTAAAAGACCAAGAAATCCAAAACACAATGACAATTTTAACAACTAATGACTTCTAGGCTTGAATTGCTCTGTTGTGCTGTTCAGTCAAGTTAATTCTAACAGAGACCATATAGGACAGAGTTGAATTGTACCTTATAGGATCCCAAACTGGAACCTTTATGGGATCAGATTCCCAGATCTCTTCATCCATAGAGTGGCTGATGGATTCCAACCACTAACCTTTTTGATTAGAAGCTGAGAACTTAGGTATCTTTCCCTGAGAGCTCTTAGTTACTTTAGTTAACATAAAAAAAGGCTTACCATACCATTTTCTATCTCAGAGCTCTAGGATTACCTTTCATCTGTAGGCAGTGAACTGTAAGCAAACAGCATCTCAAAGATGAAGAGTAAAGTAATTACTTGAATTTTTAAAAAAATAACCAAACCATAGTTTTCTAAGTTTGTATCAAATAATGACCAATTAATGGTACTGTTAGAACAAGAACAAGTACTGTAGTCTACTTTTAACTATCCTTATTAATGAGTTGTTCTTTGGACTCCCAATAGGACAGGGAATCCTGATTTCTGATAGGAGGGCAAGAGATACCTATCTGGTCCAGTCTTGAATACTGGGGGATGCTGGCTAAGAGTTTACACCACTGGGAAATAAAGTAGGAGGGGAAGGGCTTCTGAAATTCACAGTCAGATTTCAGTCAGCTACTTGTCCTTCCACTGGAGCTGATGAAAACATGTAAAAATAAGTCACTGGTGTGAAATCAAGTCACATTCATTTTTATATACAATCCAGGAGCCAAATCCTTTAGCTCAGCATTATATTAATTTATTCTCTGAAGACAAGGTAAGTATTGTGAAAGAAAGTCGACATGAAAAGAGCCGCTCATATTAAAAAAAATACATATTAAATGAGGGACCTTCTTTGTTTTGAGTGAAAGGAGCCCTAGTGAGGAGTAGTTAAGTATTCAGTATTAACCAAAAAGTTGGTTTGAATCCACCAGCTGTAACTTGGGAGAGAGATACAGTAGTTTGTGACTGTGAAGATTAGTCTTGGAAATCCAATAGCGTAGTTCTACTGGGGCTTGGAGGGCTGCTATGAGTTGGAATTGAATCAACAGCAATGGGTCTTGGTTTTTGGAAATAAATTACATGCACTGAGGCAATTAAAAAAAAAATGACTACAATATTGTAGGATTCCCCCCAAAACCACCTGGACAATTATATATACCATGCAAGTCTTCTTTCTGAAACTTTTGGAATATACTCTAAAACAATAAAAAAAATGCAAACCTCAAACTCATTCCTGTGGAGTTGGAACCGGCCATAGCTAAACTTCTTCATTAGGTTTCCAAGGCTGTAAAGCGTTTGGGAGGAGACTTCCCAGCTTAAGACAAGGTGTCAACTATCTTAAGTAAAATAATCTTGATTCTAGAAATATCAAGTTTTCCATGGTTGGGAACAAAAAATGTCAAAAAGAGAGAACCATTGTGGTCCAGCACAGCCAGCTTCAGAAAAGTCAGCATTCTTTGGTTCTCCACTACTGCCCCCCAATCCCCACAACCTCAGAGTTGAATGATCCTGCTCTCATTCTCAGTAATACCTCTGGGGATTTAAAGCACAGCAAAATTCTTGGTAAGCACTTGCACTACCTTCACGCCTCCCTGGCAGGCTTCTTTCCAAGTTACTCACATTAAAAGCTACCCGTAGCCAACAATGGCCACCCTTATCCCCTCCCCAAGAGGGCAGCTGGGCCAAGCCAGGCAGCTTTAGGAGGATTTAGTGATCTTAACTCTATTTCTTAGGTGGTTCAAGCTCCTAACACAGCTACCAAATACTGAGTAACCAAGCTGTCACAATGCAAATAATTGTAAACAAAACTAGCTTTCATTAACAGTGTACCCCAAGAATGTTTAGTGAAAGTTTTTCTTTGCACAGTATACAACACACATATATTTATAAAGGAAAACAGGTCCCAATTTGAGATATGGGAGGAGGGGACTGAGGTCATCCTCTGTGGGGTTCAACCCTAACAAGTCCCACCATGCATATGACAGGAGTGATCTTGCTTCACTCTCCAGGCGCTTCTCCACAAGCATTCCCTCAATTAGCAGTACGACCTTTCCGTTTTCTCACCTGCCTGCGTTCTGTATTTAGGTGTTCAGGGTACCAGCCTGCTCCCATCAGGTTCCTTAACCTTCTCAAACTCCCCTACCTCCTACCTCACTTCCTCCACTGCCTGTAGATCTACTAAAAAGAACCAAGCCAGCGATATCTCCAAGGTGTCTCTAAGCCACGACGGGCACCGCTATCTGAGTCAACGTACACTACACGTCAAGGCTTCTATAGGACAATGATTCATCTCAAAAAAAAAAAAAAGTACTTTTTTTTTTTTAAGAATATAGTTTCGCAGATATCTTGTTTCTGAAACACAAGCACTGTCCCAGCGCACTGGCCACTCTCTCTGGTCGCTTTGCTGTTCCAAATATCCAGTCACAGTACACTGAGGGTTCAAGGAGAGTTGGGGCGCTCCATTATCCCCATGAAAACCCCGGCAAAATGCCTCCCCTCCCGCGCCGAACGCAAGTAGCGTGTCTCTGAGGACTCATCTCCAACTGCGCGTCCTACAGACACCAAACTGGGATCGCGCTCGCAGGGCTGGCGAGATGTGCGCACCCGCAGGAGCGCAAGCAGCAGCGGCCGCGACTCCGGGAAGGAGATGAAGACTCCCATCACGCATTCGTCCACCGCCCCATCGGTGCCCAGCTAGCGCGCAGCCCGTGAGACACACGCAGCAGGAACTCGCGAAGTTTGCCAAGTCCCAGGAGAAGTCTCTAGAAAGTTGTAGCTCTGCCTCGGAGCGTCCCTTCTGGCCTTGGGGGGTAGCGGGGGTGAGTAAAGGGAGGGGGTCGTAGGGGGTGAGTAAAGGGAGGGGGTCGTAGGAACAGACAGAAGGGAAGGGATGGATCATCGGATCCGCTCACCTGTCCGCACCTCCCCTCGGGCCCCCACGCCACCACAAGGCTAAGAAAAGACAGATTCCGAGGGTAGAATGCGTGGTACATTTGGGGACGCCACTTCCTCGTACTTTTAGCAGAGAGGGCCGTGGACTCACCTGGGCGGTGGGAGAGGAGGCAACAGAGGCAGGACCTTGGCGTGGGCAGCCCCCAGCAGGAGCGGCGCGGTCACTACAGCCCCCGGGCAGCGGCACAGAGTGAGCGGAGTAGCCGCCGCCCCCTCCTATCTTGTACGGGCTGGCCACGCCCCCACCCGCCGTCCCCGCCCCTTCTCCCGCCCCTAAGCCTGCCCTCCCGGGAAAGCCGGGGGAGCGGGCGGAGCCAAACCCAGCTGGCTCCTTCCGCTGTGCTCTGACGGGAGAGGGCAAAGCGAAAGGGGCTCTCTGATTGGCTCTTCTGCTGAATGGTTGCCTAGAGACGAGTAAATCTTTGGCTTTACTTTGGCGAAGAGGCGGGGACAGAGGAGTGTGGAAGGAAGTAGCGCTGCGCATGCGTAATAGAGAGGGGCTGAGTTGCTATCCCATTTCTTTCCACTCTATTTGTATTTTCACTACTCTCTTCTGCCTTTTCTAGCGTACGGCTTTTAACCTCTAGTTTCACACCTCTTTCTGGAGACTGCTTTTCTTCTGTTTCTGAGTCTTTTCTCATTGCTCGCCCCTCCCTTTACGAATACGGAGTGAAACCCCCCTGCTTACCACCAACTTGTCTGGGAAAACCTCTGGTTTCTGGACCCACAGAACTTTTCTGATTTCTTAGTTAAATTCAGTGGAGGTAAAGGGGTGCTTCACCATTTGCCTGTCGGTTTCTTTTATGTGATGGTTTGTTTAGATGTTGGAAACTAGGATGCGGTTATTTTCTATATCAGAGGGACCACCAGGTGGACAGATTTCAGCCTACCTTCCAGACTGAGACTAGAAAGAAGATCTGATGATCCACTTCTGACAAAAAAAAAAAAAAAAAAGACTAGTGAAAACCTTGTCAATAACACTAGGATATTATTATCTGGCATAGGGCAGGAAGATTTGAAAAGCATTCAAAAAAGTAGTAGAAAAGAGTTGCCTCCCCAAAGTAAAGTTCACATTAATAATGTTGGACTGAAACCTTCAGAACCTACATTTGATGATGTGGGATGACTCAAAACATTAATTAACACCCATTAATTATAGGAATGTGGAATGTATGACGAATGAGTCTGAGAAAATTGGAAGCCATCAAAAATTGAATGCACCACGTAAAGAGCAATATTGTAGGCATTAGTACACTAAAATGGACCAGTATTGGCCATTTTAAATGGGACAGTCATGTAGTCCACCATTTAGGGAATGATCAACTGAAGAGGAAGAGCATCTTATTTATCCAAAAGAAAATGTCATGTTCTACCCTGAAGCACAATGCTGTCTGTGGCAAGATAATATTCACATCCCTACAAAGCAGATCAGTTAATACCACAATTATTCAAGTATACGCAGAAACCACTAATGAAAAAGTGAAAGAATTGAAGATTTTTATCAACTTCAGCAGTCTAAAACTAATCAAACAAGCAATCAAGATGCATTAATAATTTACTGGTGATTGGGATGTGAAAGTTGAAAACAAAGAAGAGGAATCTATAATTTAAAATATGGCCTTGATAATAGAAACAATACAGGGGATTACATGATAAACTTTTGCAAGACTAATGAGTTATTCATTGTCATTACCTTTTTCCAATGATATAAATGGTGAATATACAAGAAAATCTCACAAGATGGAATAACTAGGAATCAGATTGGCTACATCTGTGGGAAAAGACCCTGGAGAAAGAAGCTCAATAGCATCAATCAGAATCAGGCCAGGGACTGACCTCAGAATAAACCATGAGGTGTTCATATAAAAATTCAAGTTGATGGTGAAGAAAATGGATAACAAATTTATAAGATGCCTTTGAATTGTGATGTTGATGGAGAGTGTTGGATACACCATGAATTACCAAAAGAATAAAGAAATCTGTCTTGGGGAAAAGTGCAATTAAAGTGATCCTTAGAGGCAAGGATGGTGAAATTTCATCTCATGTACTTTGGGCATGTTATGAGGAGGGGCCAGTTTTTGGAAAATTAGAAGGTCTTCAAAAGAAAGTAAGACCCCCAACAAAATGAAGTGACACACAGTGACTGTAACTATGGCTCAAACATGTCGGAGATCATGAGAGTGGCACAGGATAGGGCAGAGTTCAATGTGTTCTTCATAGATTTCTTATGACCTCTGGTCAACTCAATGGCACATAACAATAACTACAACTATGACTTTAAAGTATAAATATTGGTATATCTCTTCTGAATTTAGAGACCTTCTCAAGACTAGATTGGATTCATTTAATACTAATGACTGAAGACAAGCTGTGGGATAACATCAAGGACAACACACATGAAGAAAGCAAAAGGTCAATAAAATGACAGGAAAGAAAAAAAAAAGACCAAAATGGATGTCAAGAGAGATTCTGAAGTATGCTCTTGGACAGTAGATAAATTGAGCAGAAGACATAATAAAGAGTTGAACAGAAGATTTCAAAGGGTAGCTCAAGAAGACAAAGTATTACAATAAAATATGCAAAGACCTGGGGTTAGAAAATTAAAAGAAAAGAATGGGCTTAGCATTTCTCAAGCTAAAACAAATGAAGGGGAAAAAAATTTCAAGCCTCTTGTTGCAATGTTTTGAGTTCTAGTGGCCTAATGGATAAGGTTGCTGCTGTTGTTTTGTACCATCAGGTTGGAACCACCCCTTGGTAACAGTTCTCAGAAGAACAGGCAATGTATAGCATTTGCAAGGTCTGTTGTCAGGTACCTCTCCAAATTCCTGAAGAGCAATGAATTCAATTTAAAGACTAAGGTGTGCCTGATTCAAGCCACAGTCTTTCTCATCACCTGCTAAACATCTGAGAGCTGGGCAATGAATAAGGATGGCAAGAGAGGAATCAATACATCTGAGTTGTAGTTTTGGAGAATAGTGCTAAATATCCCATAAACTGCCCAAAGAACAAACATATGTCTTAGAGAAACTGCAACCAGAGTATTTCTTAGAGACAAAGATTGGACATGTTGTCAGGAGAGGCTTTTCCTCCGAAAGGGATATGATACTTGGAAAGGTAGATGATTAGCAAAAAAGAGGAAGACTCTCAATAAGATAGTCGATGGTAATGGCTTCAAATGAGTTGAGGATGGCAAAGGATAGGGCAGAGCTCAGATCTGTTGTTCATAAGATTACTATGAGTCATATTCACTCTATGGCACTTAACAACCACAACAAAGGGTACAGAGTTGGGCTGCCAATCCAAAGTGAGGCAGCTTGGATTGACCAGCTGCTCCACAGGAAAAAGATGAGCAAGCTCCTCTTATGCAATTTATTGCCTCTGAAAATCCACTGGAGAGTCTGTTTTTAATCAGTTCCAACAAATGGCAATGAAGAGGTTTTGTTTGGCTTTGAGTTGAAGGTTTCTGTGAGAAAGATATTGGATGACACTCCCCCTCCAAAAAAAGTATTAAAAGAAAATTGAAGTAATATACAGGGCAAGTGTACCAAAAATAACCAGTCAATTTCAAGAGATAACATTAAGATCAAGAATCAATGGTCTTCAAGCAGGAAGCCCAAGCTGTACTGATGACATTACAGAAAAACAAGACTCCAGGAATTACCATATTACCTCTTGATAATATTACAAAGAGGTGCTGCCTGGACATGCTCACTCTCAATGCACGTAATTAAGAATTTAGTCATTTGGGCAACCAACTAGAAAAAAATCTATATTTGTGTCCATTCCAAAGAAATGTGATCCAACAGAATGCGTAAATTTCCAACAATATCTTTAATAACACATGCAAATAAAATCATGCCGAAGATAATTTTAAAATACTTGATATAGTGCATTAACAGGTAATTGCCAGGAATTATAGTCCATTCAGAGGAGGCTGTGGATTAAGGGATACCATTGCTGATGTCAGATGGAGATATACACACGCGCGCGTGCACACACACACACACACACCCTGGAGAGAGGATGAAAGGCACCCAAGCGTCGAGGACTCTCCTTCATAGGGTCGCTATGAGTCACCTGTGACTCAATGGCACTTAACAACAACAACAACATACACACTCACACACACACACACACACACACACACGCTGAAAGGAGAGAATAGGAGAAAGATGTTTATTTGTGTTCTATTGACTATACATACAAAGGCATTCAACTGTGCAGATCATAACAAATTGTGAATAGCGTTGCGAAGAGTGGGAATTGCAAAACATTTAGTTTTGCTCTTGCTAAACTTGTACATGGACCAAAAAGCAACTGTTCCAACAAAACAAGGAGATACTGAGTAGTTTATAATCAGGAGAGGTGTGTGTCAAGGTTGTACCCTTCCATATATTCATTCAATCTGGGAATCCCATCTATTTAAAGAATGTGATATCAGGATTAAAGGAAGATTCATAAACAACCCACTGCAAATAACCCAACCATACTTGCTGAAAATGATGAGGACTTGAAGCACTTACTTGAACACTCTGATGAAGATCGAAGATTACAGCTTCAGCATTAATAAGATACCTCAACATCAATAAAACAAATATTTTCAAAACTAGGCCAACAAATCACATCTTGATAAATGAAGAAAAGAATGGACTCAGATTCTAAATTCAGGCTAACCTAAATCCTGGTCTTCCTTCTCCATTTAACTATATGTAAGATGTTGAGCAGGTAATTCAATTGCCAAAAACCTCCATTTCCTAGCGGTAAGGAGCTGTTCTGCCAACCCAAAGGTACATGGTTTGAATCCACCAGCTGGTCCACAGGAGATAGATGGGCAGTCTCCTCATGTCAGGTTTACAGCCTCTGAAAACCCACTAGAGGGTTTGTTAGTTCTGACTCGATGGTACACAGCAGTAACAGAATGGGACTAAAAGTGAACAGCTATGTAGGGTTATATAAGGATTACATGCTTGCAGTCCTATTAATACATACAGTGTTTGATGTAAAGTATGTGCTATGTGTTATTTATATCAAATAATAAGTTTTGAAAAACAGTTGCTGTCATTGACTCAATTCTCAGTCAGATTTCCCAGACTATAATTGTAACAGAAGCTCTCAAGGATCAACTGGTGAATTTAAATGAGGACATTTTGGCTAACAGCACAACACATAACCACTATACCACCAGGACCCCTTAT